TTAAAGGAATTAGGTTTATTACATTGGGCTTATCAAAGTGTCGATTTCATTGTGGATAAAACAAATTGGCAGCGTCATCCATATTCTCCAACCATGCTCTGGAAATCAGTAATGAAGATGTGGTGTTCTTAGGAGGGCAGTTGGAAGTTGTGGAGCTATTCAAGGATCAAGCTCCTTTCTGACATCTCTGAAACAAATTCATTTTTCTCCTGAAGGACTAACTTCCCTTCGAATTTAGCAAGAACTGCAGATGCTGGAATCAGAGATAACAAAGTGTGGAGTTGGAGGAAGCAGGAAAGTTGACGTTTTGGGAAAGAAGGGTCCCGAACCGAAACATCAACTTCCCTGTTCCTCTGATGCTGCTTGGTCTGCTGTGTTCCTCCAGCTCCACACTGTGTTATCTCTTCCCTTCGAATTTGTCCACTTTTTAAATTTCTTTATCTCCATGCACCAATCCAAATTAATGTAGCTCGTTGTATTCAAATTAATAACCAAAGTCGATTTATTTTAACTGCTCTGGACTTGAAGGAAACGAATTTGCAGAATATTCATTTTTTAAAAGCTAAGCATTAGGCATCATCTAGGAAGATAGAAAAAAGCAAAACTGAGAAGCGAGGATTACATTCCCCATTATGGAATATTCAAGGTCTTCCACACTGCATTCCATGCAGGCAATGGATAATAATGTCTAAGTATGAAAGATGAAAATTTATTTTATTATTCTCAAAGTGAAACAAACCTGAATGTGAATTTTCCTGAGATTGTAGATAAGACTGCCATCTAATGGCCATACTGAAACATCACAACTCTTTGCATATTTATTGGGTGTTGCTATCTCAGCACAAGTAGATTATTTTGGCACATATTAAATGTCCAATTCGGATTCATTTTCTATGTCTATACTGTTTAAATTATGCAGTATACAGTGAGATGTTGTCTCTAGCGTGCTGTTCATTTCAAGGGCTAAATTGCAAGTCAGTTGAAGCAGGGTTACTTGTAAATATGATTTATCCAAGATTAGAAAAATAAAGCTTTCTGGAAATAGTATTAAAAACTGTCCAGTAGTGAGTAAAACCAAACTTGGGTCTCAGACATTTTTGTCATTTATAGAATGAAATCTTAACATTCAGTCAGGAGCCTTCGTCACACCGTTTAATAGAGCAGGTACCTAATCTTAAAGTGGTTAGTTTTAACATTCTGATTTGGGTAAAATGGAAGATTGCAAGGCCCTGGCTTGCCCTGAGTTTAGTAACAAACTTTGTACACAATTACAGTAGTATTAATACTGTAAAAACACAAGTGCATCCAAAGGCACTTTAGAGATGCTTTTTTTTCTGACAAATTTGATGTCTGGCTACATAAAGAGATATTAGGACAGGTAATAAAAAACAGTCAAAGAAACGGGTTTTACGAAATGATTTAAAGAAGGACACTCCTCAGACACCGAAGCGGGTTTACATCTAAATGCAGCAAGACCAGGACAATATCCAAGTTTGGTCTGACAAATGGCAAGTAACATACGCACCACACATGTAGCACGAAATGGCCATCTCCAAAACGAGAAATTTCAAACATTGTTCTTTGATATTCAATGGCATTACCATCACTGAACCCCAATTATCAACATTCTGGGGGTTACCTTTGACCAGAAACTGAACAGGACCAACCATATGACTTACAAAAGAAATTAGGGATAGCATTAAATCCAAACAGGAGACATATAAAATTGCGAGAAAATAACAGCAAGGCTTGAGGATTGGGAGCATTTTAAATTCAGCATAAAAGGCCAAAAGGTTTGATCAAGAAGTAGAAAATAGAGTACGAAAGTAAAATTGACCAGAACATAAAAAACTGATTGTAAAAACTACTAAAAATATGTGAAGAGTGAAAGATTAGTAAAAACAAATGTAAGTCCCTTACAGTCAGAACCTGGGAAAATTATAATGGGGAATAAAGATATGGCAGAAGAATTGAACACACACTTTGGCTCTGCTTTCACAGGATAGGTCACAAATAACCTCAGAAATGTTAGGGAACCTACAGTGTAGAAATGGGCAGAAGTTTATGAGGAATTTCACAGACGAGAGCTTTAAGGCACAAATAGTATAGCAATTAAAAGCAGGAAACTAGAATTGGAGACTGCAGCTATGTCTGAGGTTTTTAAGAACAGAGATAATTGCAGAGATAATGAAAGTTATTGCAAGACATGAATCCAATGTAGATCAATGAGAAGGTGGACAATGGATGAATGGGGACTTGGTCTGTGTCAGGGTACAGGCAGTACTGTTTAGATTTACTGAGTTTTGAAGATGGGGTGCACTCTCATCTCTGAGTCAGAACATTCTGACTTCCAATCACAATCGAGAATTTTAAACACAAAAATGTAGTTTGACAGCTGGATACAGTACTGAAGGAACACTGCAATCTCATAGGGGCAATCTTTCAGATGAAATGTCCACTTTCACTTCCAAAATATCACCCATCTCCATCCCAATCTGACTCCCAATGCTTCAAACTCTTACTGACCTCTTTGGCCTCTTTAAACATGACGTTCTGCTGTGCTCACCTATTTTTTGAACTTGGAACTGTGATGCACGTTGAGAAGTATGTTATATTGAAGGCACTGCATAAATGTTCATTATTTTAATTCTGCAAACAATTATTCTAACATGAAGGAAAAACAAAGAAACACTGCACTAAGCAGAATGTCACCATATCGCTCACTAAACATTCAGGTAAATAGATCGTGGGTAGATTTTTTTCTTTTTGGGTCAGGACCCTGATATTGAGACCATTACTGAGTTCTACACCGGTGCTGTGTTGGGAGCTGAAGTAAATTTGTCACCTGGATCTCTACTTGCCATTGAAGTAAGAATGGAGGTAGGTTCTGGATGCTGACGGGACCTCCAGGGTGCCCTCTAACCCTGAGAGATCGGGAGACCCATCAGCAGAGGTGGGAGCTGCCAATGTAAGTGGGAAACAGAAGACTCCTCACGAGGCAGACATTTCTTGAGACTTGGTAATAAAGATTAAATTCTGCTGAACAAAAGGGTCAGACTTTTCTTTGAAGGAAAAATTCCCACACACGTCTGCCTCAGCCACTTGAAGGTCACTTGAAGGATGTGCCTACAGTATAGGACGAGAGGTAATCTGGGGGCCTGATGAGATGAGTTAGCAATGTTATATAGACCACTGGCTATACCACTGCCACCTCTGTGCATTGGCTGGGGTTTGACAGATATGAGTCCCAACTGGTGACTGGAGACTTCCAGTTGATGCCTCCACAAAGTACTTAGTAGGCCACTTAAGCACCTCTGTTTATCTATGGGAGTGTAATCTTCACTCAATACCACCGCCCCTCCCTTGACCCATCCCCAATCATTCAGTTTAAAAACTGTCCAGAGGAGGGATTGTGTCAGAAATTGGCTATGCCATTCTCTGGGACAAACTTTCCAGCCTTCAACGCCTCTGTCTGCTCCCAGCTCTGATGCAAATCAAAAGTTACTCTCAACGTGCCTGCACAGGACTTGGACATTAGGCTGCGATGCCTGTTTTTTTGACAGATGTTAGCCTAGGAACTGCATAGTTTTGGCAGTGACAGCAAGAATTTGAAGTAGGTGGGCTCTGCTCAATCCTCACCAAGAGCTGGGTGCTGCTATTTCCTGTGAATGGTTAGGAAAAGACATTGGACTGATAGGATAATGTCAGATGGTCTAAATCCTTTCCAACTTTCCGATGTAAATTTCAATGCAGCAGAGTAAGGAGTATGTCAGGTTTAAATCCTGGCAGAAGTGGGGCACAGCAGCACTTTAAGAGCTGATTCCTCTTGAACTGCTGTTAAGAAAATGGAAAATCCAAATATTGTTCTTGAAGTCTTTCATTTTTTCATTGTGGCCAGTTTAATTACCTTTACGATAGTGGAGCAAATCATTTCAATTATATTTGTTCTCCTCTCCCAAAATGCTGGAAAAAATGGTACATCTGCTTGAATTGTCTAAATTTACTGCTTTTGGATTTGTGGCTCTGTCAGTACTAGGCCTGGTTGCCTGGTGAATCCTGCCCTGATGTGCTTTAGTAACTCATTGTTCTTACAATTACTTTTTTCCCTCAGCATATTCTTCAATCATTTTCTTAGCAGAAATGCATCTTTTTTTTCTACACCCACTTAAATGTCCTTTTTAAAGTCTTTTCCAACTTTTGATGTGGATGGTTTAGTTAATAGACATTTTTGTGAATAACATGTAACTGGTTTAGTTAGTTGACATTTTTATGAATAACTTGTACTTGAATACATGGTGTGACATTTGATGATATTACTCAGGTGTTCATGCATGTACATAACTGTGTGTTTCTGTTTCTGACTCAGTCCACCTGCTGTTGAAACTCTCATTTTTTTTCGTTAACATTTGTCCTGACTATGACAATGTCCTTGGTGCCAATATCCCATCTTCCACCTTCAAAAAACTTGAGCTCATCCAAAACTCTGTTGCTATATCCTAAGATACACCAAATCTGTCTTATCCAATCACCGTGTGTGCACTGACCTGAGTTACCTTCTGGTCTTCAAATATCTCAATTTGACATTCTCATTCTCATGTGGAAATCACCCCTCATCTCTATCACTTCCTCCAGTCCTACAAATACTTTGTGAACTCTTGGCTCCAGCAAATTTGGTCTCTTGTCCATCTTCACTTTCTTCACTCCACTATTGGTAGTCATGCTTTCAGCTGCCTATACCATAACATCAGGAATTCCTTCCCTCAATGTTCTCCACCTCTTCAATTCTCTCGCATCATTTAAAAACCTAGCTCCATGACTGATCTTTTGACTACCTCTTTTTCTTTGCCTGTTGTGAATTTTTGTCAGATAATGTGCTTTGGTGCTTTGTGATGTCGTACAATGTTAAAGGGATTTAAAAGCTAGCTGTTGTTGTGTACACCTTCATTAAATTTCATATGATTATCTCAATGGCTATTGCCCGAAATTAACAGGTTACTTACCAGCTCTGAGAAATAGGTGTACTTTCCTGTCACTTTTGCTATTGTTTTCTCATGGTAGTCATCTAACTGAAGGGGATTCATTGGTCCACTTCCTAATGATAAAATACACGATACAGTGAAGGCCCAGTTTTTAGAAGTCTTGTAGTTTGTAGTTTATAAATCATTTGTTGAGAGGAATAAAGACAAAGGACTGTTGACACTGGAAATAAGATATGGCTCGGCTAGCAACTGTTCCAGATGACATTTCCTCAAAATCAATAGCTGATATTTGTTTATGGTCCATGAGGTGGGTCACCAAATATAGTAATAATTAAAATTTATTTGTTGCAGTACATAACACAATGAAATGATCTTTCAGTTAGCGTTATTTCCTACCTGTGAAGTCCCTCTTGTATGAAGATAGCCAGTGTGATTTCTCAACATTTTTCAAGATATTAGCAGTTCTCTCTGAAACAGCATGCTCTAAGATAGGCTCTGTCTTGTTGGGGGCAATAAGCTTCGGTGGTGTTGGATAGATTGCTTGTTTACGATCTTTTTCTGATTTAGGATACTACAATGAAAGAGAAAGGCTACCAAGTTGTATTTAAAATAAACAATGAAATGAAGTATCCTGATTTTGAAGCTCCCCTACCAGGGCTTACTAGCTTTTACAGGTTTCAGATATAACAATGTACTACACTAATTCTCTTCAAAATACCCACTGCATTCATTTGTATCCATTACGGTAAATGACACAATTCTCACAAATAAAAGTTTACATTAATTTTGTTAATGTTTATTGTTGAAATACAGACATGTAGCTGAAGATAGCACTCATCAGCCCAAATGCAAGAAAGCCAAACTTCAAACGATCACAATAATTCACATGAAAATGAGAAATGGGTGCTGATTGATTGGCAAGTCAACTCTGACTGGCTGAGGGGTTGCCGATGGAGAACACAATGGGCAAATATAGGTTTCCCAAGCTCCCAGGTAGATGAAAAAGTGTGCAATGCCTTTTCCCTGTCACAGGGAAGGTGACAGAATTGATCATGGACAGGGTTATAGCTGTGCACTTAGGAAAATTCAAGGTATTCAAAAAGATTCAGCATGGGTTTGTAGAAGGGAAATATGTTTAACCAACTTATTAGAGTTCTTTAAAGGAGTACCATCTTCTGAGGATAAAGGAAGCCTATAGCCGTTTTGTACTTGGATTTTCAGAATGCAATTGACAAGGTGCCAGATAAAAGATTACTGCATAAAATAGGGATAATAAGGAGGGGATAATACATAAAGATAGATAGAAGATTGGCTGGTGTGTAGAAAAAAAAGTAGGCCGATTGGCAGTAAGTGACGAGTGGAGTTCTGCAGACGTTTTACAATTTACAGTAAACTTTTTATTAACCGGCACCTACAAGACCAGGAGTGTACCAGCTGATTAAATATTCAGGACAATCAAGAGGTCCACATAATCAACATAAAAACACACACTAAGTAAAAGAAACGTAATGCAGGGGGTATACACATTATTGTCACACTTTACTTACAGCATAAATCACTTAAATAATAATGCAACTTTGCCTTAAATAAAACTTACCAACAGGGATCCTTCTCACTCACACCCTCAACTGACTACTCAAGACATCACAGTTGATCCTGGTATTTGAGGATAAATTGACTCAAAATTGAAATGTTGATATTTCGTGTGGCCATTCAATTAAACAACAGGTGTATTTACATCGAGGTAAATAAATTAAAAACAAAATGATTGGACAAAACAATACAGTAAACTTCACGGTGTTTGAGGTATATCATTTTTGCTGGAGTTAAAACAAAGTTTGCTGTACATCAATTACTTGAATGAGAGGAGTAAAGGCATGGTATCTAATTCTGTAGATGATGCAAAGATAACTGAGAATGTATGTTGTGAAGTGGACCTAAGGAGAATGCAAATGATATAAATAGATTGAATGAGAAAAAAAATCTGGCAGAGAGACCATATTATGGGAAAATGTGAAGTTGCTCACTTTGGCAGAAAGAATTAAAATGCAGAGTAGGTACATAATTCTTTGAAGTTTGCTTCACATAAAGACAATGTGGTTAAAAGGGCGTTTGGCACATTTGCCTTCATTGCTCAGTCCTTTGAGTACAGAATTTGCGAAGTCATGTTCAGGTTATACAGGACGTTGGTGAGGTCTCTTCTGGAATACTACATCCAGTTTTCGTCACCCAGTTGTAGGAAGGGTATTATTAAGCTGGAGAAGGTTCAGAAGAGATTTACCAGGATGATGCTGTGTGTGGAAGGTTTGAGTTATAAAGAAAAGCTGGATAGGCTGGGACATTTTCACTGGAGCATAGGAGGTTAAGAGGCAACCTGAAAGAAGTTTATAAAATAATGAGAGGTATACATAATGGTAGTTGTCTTTTCCCTAGGATGGGTGAATTTCAAGATTAGGGTGCACATTTTTAAGGTGAGAGGAGAGAGATTTTAAAAAGACACAAGAGACAAATTTTGTTACACAGAGGGTGGTTCGTGTGTGGAATGAACTTCCTGAGGAATTGGTGGATGTGGGTACAGTTACAAAGTTTAAACGACATTTGGATAAGTACATAAATAGGAAAGGTTTGGAGGGATATGGGCTGGGAGCAGGCAGGTGGGAATAGTTTAGTTTGGGATCATATTCAGCATGGACTGGTTGGACCGAAGGGTCTGTTTCCGTGCTGTATGACTCTGTGACTATGACTGTTACTTCAACAGAGAATAATGGCAGAATTCAGAGATGCAGTGGGATCTCTCGGTTTTAATGCATAAGTCAGAAAAATGCTTTCTTTTGAATAGCAATATATTTGGACACGTGATGTCATACCTTCGGGCCAGGATGGATTTCAACCCAGACTTTCTGGCCCAAAATTAGGGACACTATTACTGTGTCACAAGTGTCCCTGAGTCACAAGAAAAAAATCAGTATGGTAGTACAGCAAGTCATAAAGAAAGCTATTGGGATGTTATCCTCTAATATAGGAGGAATTGAGTATAAGCCATACAGACTTCATTTAATCAGAAAATGACAGAATGCAGGCTTCATGGAAAATGTCAATAGACTCACTTTTTTATTCACTCATGGGACATGGGCTTTGCTGGTTGGCCAGCGTTTATTATCATCCCGAGTTGTCCTTGAGAAGGTGGTGGTGAGCTTCTTTCTTGAACTGCTGCAGTTCATGTATTGTAGACAGACCCACAATGCACTTAAGGAGGGGATTTTAACCTAGCAATCGTGAAGTAATGATGATATATTTCCAAGTCAGGATGGTGAGTAGCTTGGAAGGGAAACTTGCAGGTGGTGGTGTTCCCATTTAGCTGCTGCCCTTGTCATTCTGGATGTAAGTGGTCATGTGTTTGGAAGATACTGTCAAAGGATCCTTGGAGAATTTCTGCAGTGCATCGTGCAGATATACACACTGTTGCTACTAAGCATTGGTGGTGGAGTGAGTGTATGCATGTGGACATGGTGCCAATTAAGTGGGCTGCTTTGTCCTGGATAGTGTCAAGCTTCTTGTGTTGCTGCAGCTGCACTAATCCAGGCAAGTGGGGAGTATTCCATCACACTCCTGACTTGTGCCTTGTAGCTGGTGGCCAGGCTTTGGGGAGTCAGCAGATGAGTTACTTGCTGCAGCATTGCTAGCTTCTGACCTGCTCTTATAGCCAACTCTTGTAACTGGTGAGTCCAATTGAGTTTCTGGTCAACAGTAACCCAAAGATTTGAAAGTGGGGGATTAATGAATCTAACTGAAATCCTACCACTGTCGGCTAGGAATCCTGCAGCAGCCCTGTTTGCCTGCTCTCTGACTTAATTCAGGAGTTTGGGGGGGTGCGGGGGTGGTTTGCTGTTGGTGGGAGTCTGACACACGGCCTCTCCCCGAATAAGCTTCCCATAATGCCAAGTTGCATTAAATCCAGCCCAAGATGTGACATTGAGAGAAGACCTGCTTAAAAATTCTTATAGTTGTTGTTAGTTAATTTATGTATTCACTAAATATCATATTTCGGTCTGACACAACATTCAAATTGAAAACAGTAACAAGATATTTAAAGATAAATGCAAATTATTACATATTGGAAGAGAAAGTGCATTGAATAGCTAAATGTGAAGTTGAAAAAGAACTGGGGTGTTATTAGACTCAGGGCTTACATGTACAGATACTGAAAGGCATTAATTAAGAAAGTAAAGCAGAATGCCAAAGTAACCATGAGAAAAAGAGTGCCATCATATCATTAAAACAGATCAGACAGTGGATGGGGGGCAAGTTAGGGAGACAAAGCATAGGTTAGGCCTTAAGTCAGGAATTTCCTCTTCAAAGTTATTGATCCATTGACTGGACTTTAAGCTGGAGTAATGGAGGAAAACATTTATGTTTATTAAAGTAATGGATGGGATAACTATATGTTTGTCTGAATAGATGATCTAAGATGGATCTAAATGTTCTTTCTGATTCATTTCTAACCCTTATATTATGGAAGCATGAGCAAAGCTGACAATTTCCTTTGGATGCTCCTTGAATCAATGAGGGATACTGGTTAGATTAATACATTTAAAGCTGGATAATATTATAGTATTGACCAATTATTTGGGATACCTTGTTGCAAATAAGATTTTTACATAAAAAATCAAGAGATATTAATTCAAGTATATTGCAATTTAACTGGTATATAATCTAAATCCACTAAATGTGAGCAACTGAAGGGCAGAAAATATCATCTTTGAGCACAGGTACTTACAAGAGTAAAACCTTCTTGTCCTGGCCAAGCCAAACCTTTTGGTACAATGGGTATTTCCTGGCTTTCAATTCTATATGGAGATCCTGTGATTTAGTAGTAAAGCATTTGGAATTAATATCCACGGTTAAAACCAAACTTTTTATTAAGGCAGCCCTGTCATCAGGACTTTTGACAATCATTTGTTAAAAGTTTTTTTTTATGCAGCTAATAGGAATGATTGACACAAGTAAATGAAAATACACAAATTTATGCAGCTGCTGTTCATTCTAGTATCAACTGATATTAACTCAATTTCATTAACAGGGTTCAGTAATTTATCCAAACCAATGACGTTTTTGTTACTCAACATTAAAAACAATACTCAACAATATTTACATGCTCGTTATGAGAGAATGTGCAAGTTTTAGGAATGAAATATTTATCTATTTTGTAGTGCAGCACGGCCAGGTAGTGTGCATTCTGGTTAACAATTTGACTTCTAACAACAGCCATTTTAAAGCACGTTACACTGCAACAATTTCCTCTCCATCCTTGTGGCTTCTCTGGGGTGAGACTGTTACAAATCAAGATATTCCCTTTAGCCAAAAGGCTATGCATGAGCCTTGTTATGGTCTGTGGACCCCGGTGAAGGTCATGGTACCAGTTTAATTAGAATATATTTGGTAGATCCCCAGCGAGGTTCATTGTCTGTGCTGCATAGAATTCTAGGCAGGTGGTGGGGTTAAGTAGAAAATCGCTGCTGTCTCTGTTTCAGATTGCTACAGAGGATGTTTACTGGATTGAGACCTGGAATGAGAAGGTTGCCATATGAAGACAGGTTGGAGACACTGGGCTTGTTTCCACTGGAGTTTAGAAGAATGAGGGTAATTTAGTAGCAATGCATAAGATTCTAAATGATCTCAATAAGGTGAACATGGAAAGGATGTCTCCTCTTGTGGATCAGTTCAGAATTAGTTTTAAAACTTTTTACCCCAAAGTGACTTTGGAACGCTCTGCCTCAGAAAGCAAAGCAGGCAGAATCATTGAATATTTTTAAGATATAGGTGGATAGACTCTTGTTAGACAAGGGAATCAAAGATTCACAGGGTAGATGGGAATGCAGAACTCAAAACACAAACAGATCAGGCATGTCGTATTGAATGGTGAAGCAGACTAGATGGGCCGAATGGCCTCCATCTGTTCCTATTTCATTAGTTGGTATGTTGTAGGAGCATGGGGTCTTGTAGCTGGGGACTGGCAGCCTCTTGGAAGAACAAAGATTGTGTCCACTGAGCATGAGCAAAATCTGCCAGTTGTAGGAATCATTTTACAGCTAATAATATTCATTGTGGAGCACTACTTAAATTTTAAATAATCTTTTTTGCTCACAGCAATGATATCATTTACAAAATGTTAATGTCAATGTTACTAAGTCAATGATATGAGAAACCATGATGCCTTAAGTCACTTCTCATTATTGTTTGATTGGATATATATTTCTGGGCACTAATACAGAGTAACCTTCATCAGCATCTCCAATCCAACAAATGGACAATCTTGCCTGCAGTACTAAATTAGGGACAATCTTGTGTTGTTGACCCAAGAATGGGAACTGATTTAAGATGATATAACATTCAGTTTACAAATAAACTTTTACAGCGAGGTGACTTTCATCCTTACAATGAAAATGGGATTGGGAATCCAGAGTTAGAATGACCGGACCGAACCAACACACAACCTGCTCTTATTTTTTATTCTTAGGCAAAACATTTAATTTAAATATAACAGAAGAATTTAACTTGGTGTTGGAATTAATACTTGATTTCTCACCACCTCCCCTCTTCTTCCAAGTCACACCACTTTTTCGTTCTAGGCTAGGTAAAGACTGTATTTTATTGGAAGGGAGGGATAGCTGACATAGGATCCATAGCTGGTCAGTGGATGTACGAGAGGCTGGTGGGAGAGAAAACGGGCATTGGCTACAATGTCCTGCAGGTGTATGAAACCTCACCAATAACGGCAGGTGACAGTGGTATTTGGGTCAAAGGCTTCACAGATTAAGGTAACCAGAAAGAGAATAAACAAGGGAAGACTTTATAGAGAGAAATGCTTTTCCCACCTGTCCATATATAGAATTAAAGCAGCAACTTAAAATCCTGGGATGGGCAGCTGGCTGGGAACGGTGAAGGATCATCCTCTTTAAAGTCTTGATACGTCAAGACGATATTTTTTTCATTTGCATAACAAGATGGAATACAGTACAGGGAAACCAGCCTGAATTAGAGGAGACCCACAAACTTTTTATCAAGAAGGCCATTCTGGGCAGCCCTGCCAACAGGAGCATCATGGGGTCAGTGACAAAACGTGGCAGAATACTAGCACCAATGTACTCTTTCTATATATCATCATCTTTCTCCTTTTTCAAATATAGAGCTGTATTTTATGGCCCAAACTCCCCCCGCCAATACATTCACATCTCCACCGACAGTCCCCCATCCTCCTCACCCATATACAAATTTAAAGATGGTGGCGGTGGTGGTGAGTGGATTGTAAAGTACAGTGTATGGCTTTCACATTGTCTTACTGTCCACTGCTGACCTATCTCTCATTTTATGGTTGGCAGGAGAGGCTTCAGGCAGTCTGTCCATCACCCTTGGGCCTACTGAGGTCTTCAAGTAGCAAATAAATGGCCATTTAAAGGCTTCAAGCCCACTATGCTGCTGTTTCTCCCATGGAAAGGATGCCCATGCCAGCCAAGTAGCCTGGCAGCTTTCACTGTGGGGGCTGATGTTGGATAAGAGCTGAGGGGGATGGTGCATTCCTTTGGGAATCCCCTGGAGGTACACTCCCACAAGGTTGTACCCCATTCCCTTAATCCTCCCCACCAGCCTCACAATCCTGGTCCCTCACTCCTGTCGCTGGGGCACAGTCAGCCATTCTCGAACTGATACCTCGGTCTTAGCTGGAAATCCGGTTTCCACAATCTCCACTTTTTCTGCCTGTAATCCCAACAGCGGCTGCTACTCAAACCTTGTGCAGCAGGGATGACAGAGCTGCAGCTAATCAGATCTGCAGATCTCTAAAGTAGGGCCTTCACACTAAATTGGGTCAGAAGTCTCACCATTTAAAGCAAGAAACGGCCCACTGGGTGGCTATAGCTAGCTGGATTTTTGGTGGACAGCTCTACGGCCAACTTTTCAGTTAAGGGGGAACCAGGAAATACAACACCCCATAAAATTCAGCCATTAATGTAAAAAAGAACACATCTTGACATTTTTCTGCATCTTTGATTGTGGATTGAACTGTTTTGAAACTAAGGAAGGATTGTTGAAGGATTACTCAATGTTTACACATCTGCCTGTACAAGGTTTACAAATGAGCTGGTACGAAAGGGTGTACAATTGAAGTTATGGCTGACAACAGTAGCTGATTGCTCTGTGAACTACTAACCGGTTATTGATCACAAAGGTCTTCTCCCTGCCAACAACTGTTTGTGATTGGCTTTGAGGTAGCTGAACAGCTTGGAGGTATTAACTTCTAACCCTAATGTTATAGGACATCTGGAGGAGAAGGAGCTGCATTTGCTCTGCAGTAAAAAACACTCAAGTCTGAAGAAAGCCAGTTTATTTCCTCTTCCCAGTTGCTATAAGATGTGAGTTTTAATTAATAAGTCAAAGACCTTACTTATAACCGTGTTTTCTGCAAATAGGCGAAAGTATCTGGAGAAGGAAGATCGAGAAGCAGCATTCTGATTATTACAAGACTCAGGTCAGCAAACCCTGCTGTCAAGGACCACTGAACTGCTTTCCCAGTTTTTCCCTCCCATGTCTTTATCCCTGTCTGTCTGTGTGTGTAGCTGGGGAGTTTATAAGAGATTTAAACTTTTAACTAGTAGAATTATATGACAAGAGTTCATAATTGTTTATCTGTAGCTAAAATTTATTTATTTGTAATGAACAGGCATTTTTGTTAAGTATGGAAACTTGGTCCGTGCTTTGTCAACCTGGGACTAAAAGATAGGCAAGTTGGGGAATTCTGCATATTTTTAAAAAAACTCAACTTCTACGGCAGCTCTGGGAATAGCAGTGCTTGATTTTTTGCAGGCTACCTCAGAAAAGCATAACAATAGGAATACGGACAAGTACAAAAATGACAAACACTGCCTTATAATGCAAAATCTGTTTGTAGCTGTCTCTTTGAGCCACCAACCTCTCGTTACCGTAGTCTTAGAAAAGCAGCCAAGAGTACTGTCAATGATCCTGAACAGGACACCATTACAAACCTGCAATCTTTGCATAATTGTGTCTCACAAATGTTTGCAAGAAACAACAGAACTACTGAACTCTTGGGTGATGGAGATAATGAGCTTGTGGACAGAATTTTGAGTGAGTCAGTACACAGGTTATGGAGAATAAGAGATTTGATCTAAGGTTTCAGAAATCCAACAGTGAAAGGAAGCAGAGGAAGATAGGTTGCAGAAAGAGATAGTCTTGCCTGGTATTATCAGTGCTACAATCTAGAGAGATCCATCAGAGTGATACCAGCATGTGACCATGTACCTCATAAGCTGACACCTTATCAGTGGTCAGAGTAAGAACACATGAACGGAATAATGGCACTGAAATTTGACAGGATTGGCTGAGTCCCATTGGAAAGGAATACAGTTTGAGTAGTTGTGAACAAATATTACTGGGTTCTGTAACTTGCAGTTAGACAACTTGGCATTCACTACGCTGGACTGAAGACTTGAATTCCAACAGCCATTTTGAAGATTCCCTACACTTGAAGGATCTCCTCCTCTGCTGAACTTTTGTAAATAATTTATTTACAGTCGTCTTTCTGGTGATCTCACAGAAAGTAGCTTAGCTTTTTAACATCATAAAGTGGCCAGTGGTCTCCTGAGGTTGGAACAACTGCTTTTTGTGAATTTTTACTTTGACTTGAGTTCCTTTAGGATGTGATCCCTTCACCATCATTGCTCCCTCTACCAGCTTGCTGTCCATCTGCCACATCCCATCACAGCTTTCTCTTAACCAAAATCCTGTAATAAAAGCTACATTAACAAAAAAAATCTTCATGACACCTACAAACATTAAAAAAAACA